ACTCTTGTGCCAACCAATTAACATTCCTGTATAACTTTATCGCTAAAGGCCTGGATGAAGGTAAGGAAATATGAGTTGTTTTCTGCGACATTAGTAAGGCGTTTGACAAAGTCTGGCACAAGGGAATTATCCGAAAACTTCAGGCAAATGGAATTAAAAGAAACTTACTAAAATGGTTTGAAAGTCATTTACAAAATAGAGTACAAAAGGTTGTTATTAATGGTTTCTGTTCCGTAATGGCTGGTGTTCCAGAGGGTTCAGCCTTAGGACCACTACTTATTATATACATAAATGACATAGTCCATATAATTAACAGTAACATCAGGCCTTTCGCTGATGAAACGTCAATTTATGTTATCATAGACGAGCCATTTGAAGCAGCCCAACTGCTTAAAAGCGCACCCAGCCTCTCCCCCGAAAATGTTTTCTCCGAGGGGCATTTCCCCTATAGTCTCTTTGTAGTGAAAACGTACCGATGAATTTCAATTCAAACAAAAATGTAAATCAAATAAAATGAAATTAAGATTGCGAATCCTCATAATTTTACCTTGCCGTTTGAACGTTTTAATCTGAGAATTTCATTCAACTTAGGATAAAAGTTGTTTAACAAACGATCATAGTTTCAAATCGTTATTATTGGTTTGTATTCCATATGAAAAGAGCAAATAGCGATTGTTTTAAGCCAGTGTCTCATAGCCAAAGTATTCGAGATTAAGTAACATGTCATAAGTAATCAATGATGTTTGCCTCTATAAATAATGCATTCATAGCTCTAGCATAATGAATTTATTCCATATGCATCATAGCTTAGGAATAATTTTAAAACAATTTCATGCGATGCGTAGCACGCTTTCCATAACTATAAATACTTTCAATGTTGTGTTTTATGATATATTGAGGTTATCTTTTAACTGTTTATTGTTCTCTACACGGTTCAACATTATCAGTTACGTATTCATCTAAAGTAGGTGTTTTATAAACAATGTTTTCAGTCACACATCAACCACAAGTATGTAACACACATAAACGAGAGCATACACTACACATCAACCACAACTATATAACACACATCACCAACAGTATATAACACACATCAACGAGAGCATACAATACACATCAACCACAAGTATATAACACACATCAACTAAAAGTATATAACACATCCACCAACAGTATATAACACACATCACCAACAGTATATAACACACATCAACGAGAGCATACAATACACATAAACCACAAGTATATAACACACATCACCAACAGTATATAACACACATTAACTAACAGTACATAACGCACATAAAACAAAAACTAATAATGTATATATGTAATACACATAAACAAAAAGTATGTATAACCACACATCCACCAACAGCATATAACACACAAATAAAACCACAAATATATAACACCACAAGTATATAACATACATCAACCACAAATACATAACAAACATCAATACATCCACCAATAATATATAACACACATCAACCATAAATGTAAATATATAACACACATCAGCCACAAATATATAAACACACATCAACCATAAATATATAACAAACATCAACGTTAAATATATAACTCACATCAACCACAAATATATAACACACACATCAACCATAGATATATAACAAACATCAACCACAAATATATAACACACTTTATATATATAACAACATATAAACACTTTTGATACCATGACTAAATCTTTTTAGACAAAGGTATTGAAAAAAATTTGGTTTCGGTCCAAACATCATAAAATGGGGAGAAATCTTAACTTCAAATACAACAGCATCAGTTATTCAAAATAGACATCTGTCATCTTTTTCACACTTGAAAGGGGATGTACACAAGCCGTACTTATTCATTCTTGCAGTTGAAATATTAGGTACTATGATAAGGACAAATCCGGACATAAAGGGTATAACACTTAATGATATTGAACATAAACTAGGACAGTATGCTGGCGATACTCAGTTATTTCTAGATGGATCTGAAAAAAGCCCCAATGCAGCAATTGAAACACTGAACATTTTTCTCCAAATATCAGGACTTAAAATGGACATAGATAAAACTAAGGTAATTTGGATAGGTTCAGTGGGCAAGAATGATGCATATAGAATGTTTCATGAATGCTTTGAAATTATCTTCATAAAAACTATATTTAAAAAACTAAAGAATCTATAAACATCTTTTCATTTTTTTTTCACTTGGCACCAATGCTGTTGACTGTTTATCTGACCATGATAATCCTAATTGGGGAGATCTGTTATCTACTTGGAGGATATTCTATAAGAAAATTACTTTTGAGGAGAATGATGTAGACCAAATCTTGACTCAAACCACTTTGGTTGAATCATTTCTTTTAATCATTATATATTATTTAAAAAACTGGTTTAGTCACGGCATACATTGTATAAAAGATATATGTGATGAAAATGGCTTTCTAAGTTTTGAAAATTAAAAACAGAGGTACAAAATACAGGGAACTCTCAAAGACTATCAACACTTGTTAAACTATATGCCAAACAACTGGATATATCAGATAAGAAACAGAGCACTTACATTTGATCACCCCTCATATTAAAACTATATACAAATATGTCATATGTAATGCAAAAGGCTCAAGGAAATTCTATGATGAACTAATTAAGAATGATACCACACCCAAGTCATTAGAATATTAGAACTCTGTCTTCCAGCATGAGATTGACTGGAAAGATGTATTTAGCTATTAAAGGAAATGTACAAATGGCTGTAAGCTCTTAGACTTTCAATACAGATTTATAACAGAATAATTTATACAAAAACAAAGAATTATTGAAGATGAAGTTAGTTGATGACGATACATGTACATATTTTGTAAAACTGCCTCAGAAGATATATCACATGTTTCTTTGAATGTCAATTTGTTCGGATCTTTTGGCTTAAAGTTCAAGAATTTCTTAATAATAACCTCCAAACCAATTTGAGACTATCATTATTATGTTTGGTCTGTCCTCAAACAATACAGAAGTAAATCACATTTTACTGCTTGCTAAAAATTCATCTATACTTCATCAAGCCTTAAACAGTTAGATATATTTTTGCAGGATTTCGTATGCTATATTTAAAAGTTCATTGCAATGAAACATAATAAATTTAGTTCTTTTACTAGGAAATGGCGTCACTTAGATACCCTACTCTGACATTTTAATTTAGCACACGTACAATTTGACTTACTCAAACAAGTGTGTCCTTTGCTGGTTTAACACTTTCATCTAGCTCCCTTTACATATGCACACCCTCATATGTGCATACAATTTTGTATATTACCTTAAAGTTGTAACTGCCAACACATGTGGCTCTTCTCCTGTAATTGTAACTTGAAATGGAATAAAAATAATATTAAAAAATCTACATAACTTACCTCAACAGCGAGCAAATGCACATTAACCACAATTACATAACTTACATCAACGACGACCATGTAATACACATCAACCACAACTACATAACTTACATCAACGACGACCATGTAATGCACATCAACCACAACTACATAACTTACATCAACCACAACTACATAACTTACATCAACGACGACCATGTAATACACATCAACCACAACTACATTACTTACATCAACGACGACCATGTAATACACATCAACCACAACTACATAACCTACATCAACAACAACATACATAGCGGCTGACATCAACGACGACCATGTAATACACATCAACCACAATTACATAACTTACATCAACGACGACCATGTAATACACATCAACCACAGTTACATAACTTACATCAACGACGACCATGTAATACACATCAACCACAACTACATAACTTACATCAACGACGACCATGTAATACACATCAACCACAACTACATAACTTACATCAACGACGACCATGTAATACACATCAACCACAATTACATAACCTAACATCAACAACAACTACATAACTTACATCAACGACGACCATGTAATACACATCAACCACAACTACATAACTTACATCAACGATGACCATGTAATACACATCAACCACAACTACATAACTTACATCAACGACGACCATGTAATACACATCAACCACAATTACATAACTTACATCAACGACGACCATGTAATACACATCAACCACAACTACATAACTTACATCAACGACGACCATGTAATACACATCACCAATAACTACATAACTTACATCAACGATGACCATGTAATACACATCAACCACAATTACATAACTTACATCAACCACAACAACATAACTTACATCAATGACGACCATGTAATACACATCAACCACAATTACATAACTTAACATCAACAACAACTACATAACTGACATCAACGACGACCATGTAATACACATCAACCACATAACTACATAACAACAACTACATCAACGACATCAACCATGTAATACACATCAACCACAACTACATAACTTACATCAACGATGACCATGTAATACACATCAACCACAACTACATAACTTACATCAACGACGACCATGTAATACACATCAACCACAATTACATAACTTAACATCAACAACAACTACATAACTGAACATCAACTACAACTACACGTCTTACATCAACGACAACTACATAACTTACGACGAGCATGTAATATCGTTATCTATGAGTAATTAGCGGTATCTGCTTTTAAATTGTTTTAAAAGTGAACTGTTATCTATTGGCATATTATTATCATCAAACACATCACATGCCTCAATATATTTTACACAAGACCATTTATCCTTCCACTATAGGACGGAATGATCATTCAAGAGGTTAAAATGTGAATCAGCCAATCCTTGATAACTGACGCACTTCACGACTCAGTGGACAAAGTCGTATTTACTATTGTTTATTCACCTCACTTCTATAAGTCACGTGTCCACAAAATATCCCATATATTCTCACCTGGCCATCCTCATCCATGCCGTGCTGCTGCTGCAGGAGACACACCCCACGTCCTCTGACAATGGTGGAACATCTGAAACTTGGCGATATTGTGGCTCTAGCGGCATATTTCATTTTGGTCATCGGCGTTGGGATATGGGTATGTACATTGTGTACTTGCATGGTCCGTCCTTACATCATGTGTTCCAGCAATAGTTTTAATTTTAAATCGAACCTAGATAATATTTGAAAGGCAAATCGTGGCTCATTACATATTCACGTCATACATGTAACAGTGAATGTAGCAAATGAATTATATTGATTCATACAGTCGACTGTAATGTAGGTGAAATGTACACGATGGTGTTATGCATTAGACTGGTGCAAGGCATGCTGTAGTAGTGTAAGTATGTCATTGCCAACAACACGCGTGACAGGTATCTGACAGTGTTGTCAACACAACCTGTCTCCATAGAAGAGAGGAAGGATTTAACGGGGCGCTAAATGCACAATATTTGAAGAAGGATGATTTGCACTAAATATACATGTACGTCAGTGTTTAAGGTTCAAAACTGACTGCCCGTTAGCATAACAAATCTGAAAATCGTCTGATTTATTTCTTGTAAGCATACATATATTGGTTATAATAAAAGATAAGGGAGATTGGGTATGAAGAGTGCTGATGGCTGAGATTACTATTAGAGTCAGGATATGTTCGCATTTTCTCTGAAAAAAGAACGGAAAAGGGTTTGTTATCTTTCAGCGAAAAGAATTCATCCAGCAAGGCATTTTCTGGATACCCAGTATGCCAGGACGTCTTTTCTTTGTTTTATTAAAAACATAAGAAATATTATTTGTGCAAACGTTAAAACCATGCCTGAATTATGTTTCACAAAACTCTACCTGGGAAACTTTTTACCATTCCGGATTTACAGCGTATTTATTTAAACAGCTTCTGTGTGTTCATATTAACGATACTAGAGCAAGATGATCACACGATGTCCCACTGTCTGATATTACTTGGTTCATATTGTTTGGTTTTAATAAAAATGCTGAAGCATTTCAAAGTAAATGCCAGTTTTGTGCAGAAACAAGACACGCAATAGAAGATGAAACACTTTCTTATTGATTGTCACTTCTACACGGATTTGGGATACAAGTTATTTAAGCGGTTGAACGTGACATCCTAGGTTTTATCTGCATGGACAGTACTTCTCAACTTATATATATTCTTAACCATAACCATTTACAACCACCTTTAGCTTTTACTCTTCTTTAAATGTTTAAAAGAAGGAGTTTTATGTACGATTTTTTACTTTTACAGCTATTGTCTTTCTATGCTCTATACCCTGTATATTCACTGAATATTATTGTCACGTTTTAAACCTGTATTATGTGATTCATAAGCCGTGTTGGCAGGGCATTTACTCCTATTTTGAGTTTTTACAAGGTACCAAAATGCGAGACTATTTATCTCTCATTATCTCTCTCATCAAGGTTCACATGGCCTCACTGGGCATTTGCCTATCCAGGTCTGTCTAAGCAAACCATTGTTATGCAAGCCGACAGGTTTCCATTAGGTCACCAGCTTAATCTCTTCACTTCAGCCAGTTGTTAGTTCTTTAGACAAATGTGAGTGGGAGAAAAAGGATCTGGGCAGACTTTGAGCCGTTAAGCGTTTGCTTACATGTTGTTATTCACATCGGGGTGTGATAGGTTTTAGGTTATGCCATATATAAGGACTCTTATTACGGTTTATTAGGCCTTATCAACCCATGAGGTCTTTCGCATCCGAACGTTATTCAATCCTGCAGAGTTCTTGAATGCATGATTCCTGAATTCCTGAACTAACACAAATGTGTAAAATACTTGTATTCGCAACTGGCCTAAAATTGCATTACTAATAGATACTTATGTAGATCGTTGTTCTACTCTTCGGTCTTTCAATTTCTTCACGAGTATCTGTGACGAGTTATGTTTCTTTTCAAATGCAGTTTCGTATTCTAAGCAAATACGAAGCATATCTGGAGGTCTGGAGTGAGTGCGTTAGTTTTACGCCGATTTCGGCAATATTCCAGCAATATCACGGCGGAGATACCTCTTCTGCTTTCCTTGTTTCCAGGGGCGGTGGGGTAGCCTAGTGGTTAAAACGTTCGCTCGTCACGCCGAAGACCCGGGTTCGATTCCCCACATGGGTACAATGTGTGAAGCCCATTTCCGGTGTCCCCCGCCGTGATATTGCTGGAATATTGCTAAAAGCGGCATAAAACCAAACTCACTCACTCCCTGTTTCCACTACCCAATGGATGGTTGCGGAAAGTAATGCCAAATAAGAGATTACACAATCACATCGCACGAGCAATGTATATGGATGTACATTATGCTCATACACGTGTTGTAGTAAAGCATCACCCACTTCTACATTGAAGTGAAAAATCAAACAGTTATACAGTATCACAAATATACTGAGAGAAACAAATAACTGAACACAGGAAATTTCAAGCGTTCCAGTTTTCATCACCAGCTTTGAATATCGCTGTGGGAAGAAATCTGAGAAAAAATAAAGGAACACTGCCATGAAGTGGTGTTCCCTTATTTGTTTCCCTCAGTATATATATACATGTTCATCAGCTTACAGAACTGATTTACGTGGGTGACATTTCATGAATAAAAAGAACAGTTTGCAGGATATTGAGATCCCCATCTTCATTTTACTCACTAAAATTTGGAACCATTTTTTTTCGGGGGGTGGGGCTGATGGGGCGAAATCCGCGAAAAATAGGTACTCTCAACTGCTGATGCGTCGTTAAACAATAGTCACTCTGTTCTAAGACTCCTTAGAAATAGGTGTGTTGAACTAATGCAGTGCAAATTTACAATATGTTATATTCAGTTCCACACATCCACGAATCTCCAAAAGTCCACATTTTGAATGTCACAGTGTCCACAGAATCCTGTTCTTTTTCAATCCTTGAAACTAACAGTTGATGGAATCCATGTCCAGACTGCACACTTTCGTCACTGGCCTGGTCAAAACTGTTTTACCAGTCTGTATGTCCACCACTCTTGTAAAACCATCCTTCCCAGGGTGAGTCTTGATAATTCGTCCCATAGGCCAGTGTCCACGTGGTGTGTTAGGCGATATCACCAGCACAATGTCATTCACGTTGATATCCTGTCGACGAGTGAGCCACTTCCTCCTTCTGTTAAGACTGGGTATCCACTTCCTTCATCCACCTGCTCCAGAAGTGCCGTATAAGCTCCTGTATCCTTCTCCATCGTTTCCTTGGGTTGAAGGTCGTTGTATCCACCGATTCCGGAGCAAAGGTGCCTCCTGCCTGTCCGTGAAGAAAGTGGTTCGGCGTCAGAGGTACATCATCCTGTGGATGTGCTGTCTGATAGGTCAATGGGCGGGAATTCATCAAGGCTTCTGCTCCAATGAACGCTGTCATGAGTTCTTCATCTGTTACATCACTGTTTCCCAGAATAGCGAAGATTGCTTTTTTTTGGCTGCCTTGACCATTGTCTCGAACACACCTCCGAAGTGAGGTGCATATGGAGGATTAAACTTCCATTTTGTTCCACGATTTGCTAATGTTCGTTTCAAAGCATCACTGTCCAGACAAGCAACGAGTTCTTTTAGCTCTTTCTCAGCCCCAACGAAGTTTGTTCCATTGTCACACACGATGTCCTCAGGGAGTCCTCTGCGACTGGCCATGCGATAAAATGCATTGAGAAAGGAATTGGTGTCCAGGCCATATGCGATCTCCAGATGTACAGCCCTCGACGCAAGGCACGTGAAGAGGCATAGATAGCGCTTCATTCTTGCTTTTCCTCTTCCCTGTACTGTCAGAAAAGGTCCAGCGAAGTCGAGTCCTGCTTGTGTGAAAGCACGGAGAGAAGGTTTGAGTCTCATGCTTGGAAGAGGAGCCATGATCTGATGTGCCACTTTCGCCTTCTGCTTACGACATTGTGAACATTGTCGCTCCCAGTCTCTAATTTCCTCTCTGCCAGAAAGGATCCAAAATTTTGCAGAAAGTGCTGCTAATGTCTGATTGGTTCCTGTAATATGACGTCCTTCCTCATGGTAAGACTTCACAATCAATCTTGTGATCCAGTTTCTTCGCGGCAAGATGATCGGAAACCTTGAATCTTGAGAAAGATGCTCAGCATAAGCCAATCGTCCATCCGATCTCATCACTCCATCTTCATCCAGCTTGGGTTGTAGTCCTAACAGCTTGCTATTAGATGGTAATGGTTTTCCCTTTTCAAGGCAGGAATATTCATCTGGAAATTCTTCTCTCTGCATTTGTGCTATTATCTTGAACTGTGCTGTTTCAATTTCTTCTGCAGTCAGTTCTCCATGAATCCTTTTAAGGTTCCCTTCAACACAGTTGTTCAAGAATCTGTATACCCATGCTTGGATTCTTGTCAGTCTTCTCCAATCTGAGTATCGTGTAGCTTTGAGTCTCCACTCTTCACAGGACGAGTCGTTCACTAACATGGTAATTATCTTGTTTTCCTTCAGAGTTTTAGTTTCTGGTAAACATTTCCTTCTGTTTTCTCTTTCAGACAGATTTCTGGGCCATTCACTTTCATCTCTAGCCAGGAAAAGGGGTCCTGACCACCACATCTGATTGTCAATCAACTTTGATGCAGCTATTCCTCTCGTCAACATATCTGCTGGATTTTGGTCTGTTGGCACATACCGCCACTGACACGGATTTGTCAGTTCTTGAACTTCACTAACTCTATTTGCTACAAATGGTTTGAATGTTCGGCTATGGTTCTTTATCCACCCCAAAGCATTTGAACTGTCTGTCCAAAATGTAACCGTGTCAATCGACACATCCAAAACTTTTGCTATTGCAACAGCTAATCTGAGTCCAGTCACAGCAGCCATTAATTCCATGCGTGGAATGCTAATAGCTTTCAGTGGTGCTACTCGTCCTTTCGCAGCAATGATTACACTGGAGATTTCATTATTCTGGTAAGTATTCACAGCATACACAATGGCACCATAGGCATTTTCAGATGCATCTACAAAGCTGTGTAGTCTAGTTTCTTTGACCTTGTTACCACAACTCAAACATCTTGGAACCTGAATGTGTATTAAATCTTCCCGTTCCATAAGCCACTGATATGCTTTCTCTTTCAGAT